TACACCCGAAGACCACCCCTGCGCCTCACTGTAGTCCAAGCCCACCAGCTATGGTGGTTGGGCTATGGCGCTGCCCTCAGCAGCACCCTTCTTCCCTGAACGACCGCACGTGCTGCACCTCGCCTCTCAGCGCCAGCCAGCAGCCTCAAGCTCTTGCTCCAGCAGCGCTGCCGCTAGCATGCGAGTGCCTGAATGAGGCTGCCTGGGGAGAGCACTTTCCTTTATGGAAAGAGCTGGCCTGCTCGTGCAGCCTGGCTGCACTGGCCTGGGCCCAGAAGCTTCCGGAAGGCCCCGGGAGGCTGCCTGTATGCAGCAGCTACTGGGCTGCTGGGCCTCGTTCGGTTGGGCGCCCAACTGTCTCTGTATGAGGCTGCGAATCACGCCCAGGGCCTGCATTCTTTGGAAAAGCCCGGAAGGTCGTGGAAATGTCTTTGTGGCCCGGCCTGAGTTTCTCTCAACCAACTGGCGCGTCGCAACTGCCTGGACCCCAAATATGAAATTGACAGTCGAGGGCCTCTGGTGATATGTTAGGCCCGCCTTCACTTAGGCCGGGCACCTCCGCCTTCACTTAGGCCGGGCACCTCCGCCTTCACTTAGGGCGGGCAATGCTGGAAACAGGGCCCCATAGGCCTACCAATGACACAGATCCTCGCATTCCCTCCTCCTTTACTTCGTGAGTCCCCTGAGAAGTCTCTTATTCTGCAGGCATTTGCCCCTTGAGTGCTCTTTCATAGCCTGCAATCACTTGAGGTGCTGTTCTCATGAGTTCTTCTCGTGTGAACCAGCGATCCTCCTTAGGATCCAGATGGTGTCTGAAGCTCACACGATACTGCATTCTCGGTTTAGGAGGGCGCCCTCTGCCTGATGGTCGAGGAACAGGCATCACTCGATGCTCAACGATCTGGTCCACGCCCACTTCGCCATCCATGGTTGGGGGCACCATTGATCTTCTGGAGGGAAACTGCTCAGTAGCAGCGAAGGGTGCTAACTTAGAAGCATGGAACACAGGGTAGGTACGCAAGTGAGGTGGGATGCGGATTACATATGAAGGACCATTTGGTTGATCTCCTACAATGTCTAAGATCTCCCAGGGCCCAAAGTACTGTGGCATTAGCTTGCGGGATATGCCTAACTCCTGACCAAGCTCAACGGACTTAATCCAGACTCTCTCGCCTACCTGAAAGTTTGAAGGCCGTCTATGCTTATTCTCAGATGCAATCATTGCTTCCTGAGATTTCTTGATATGTTCCACGGCCTGATGCAGCATTTGTTCATACTTGACAGTGTTCCACGGCCTGCTGCAGCATTTGTTCATACTTGACAGCAAACTCTATGCTGCCGGGTGCTGAAGTGGATTCTCTTTCTGGTAGCAGAAAGTCAAGGGCAGTTCGTGGCTTCCAACTGCAGTTGGTTGGGAGTCATGCCTGTAGTACTATGCACAACGTTATCGTACAGGCTGGCAACGAGAGGTAGTTTCTCGTCCCAGTCGTCCTGACTTGGCTTAATATAGTGCCTAAGTAGGTGCTGTACTACTCGGATCATCTGTTCCGCTTGACCATTTGACTCAAGATGATTACCTGAAGTCATTTGGAGTTTTGTGCCCATTTGCTCAGCAGTAGAATTGCCACAGTTCGCTCATGAATCTTACATCCCTATCACTAACAATGGACGTAGGTAGACCGAAATCCCTTACCCAGTTGTCCATGAAGAGTTTGATGACAAAGTCAGTTTTAGCAGTTTCAGGCAGAGCAATTAGTCTTGCATACTTAGTAAAGCGACCCACTATAACAAAGATGTGTCTTTTTCCAGACCTGCTGGTCACCAGGGTATCCATGAAATCCATGGACACACTTTGGCCTGGTCCTTCAGGGATCGGCAAGGGCTTGATCAGCCCAAGCGGAGCCTGAGTCCTTGGTTTGTCCCTTTGACAAACCTGGCAGGTTTCAACATAGCGTTTCGCATCTTCCATCATAGAGGGCCACCAGAATCTCTGCACTAAGTTTGCTGATGTCTTTCTATAGCCAAAATGACCAGTTGCATCATGACATTCTCCTAAAAATAAACTACGCAAAGACTCACTATTAGCAACACATAGTCTTTATTCCTGCCTTCTCGAGAAACAGCAAGCCATCTACCATTGTAAATTCGTCCAAAGTCTTTTTGTCCTTTGCTTGGAATCTATGGATGATTTCTGACATAACTGGATCTCTCTGATAGGCTTCCACCAGCGATCGAGTGAGTTCGTCAGATATGCCGAACTCAGTGACTAGCGCGCCCAAATAATCTGCCCTTCATGATAGTGCATCAGCCACTTTGTTATACGTACCCTTGATAGGATCAAGTTGATAGTCATACATGTCTATCACGTGAATCCATCTTTTGAGAGTGTCAGATAGTACAGGCTGTGTCTTAATCCAGCGCAAAGTTTCATGGTCAGACCTCGCATAGAAGAATCTTCCTAGGAGGTAGTGTCTCCAATGAACTAGCGCTCTGTACAGGGCGTAGAGCTCTCTCTCATATGTGGACTTAGCTAACTTCTGAGAAGGCATCTTTTTACTCATGTACTCGACCGGTCTCAACTTTGGCCCCTCCTGTTGCGCAAGGACCGCGCCTATACCATATTGGTTGGCGTCTGTAGTCACAACAAACGGCTTGTCAGGATCTGGAAGCTTGAGAACTTCATAGTGTGTTAGAGCATACTTCAATTTCTTGAAGCTTGCCTCACACTCTTCAGTCCACTCCCAAGGGGTGTCAGGCTACCATACTATAGTTTTTCACAAAAGGACGATAATAGCCTGTCATCCCCAAGAACGATCTGACCTCAGTAACAGTCTAAGGTCTGGGCCAGTCACGTATGCTGGTCACCTTTGCATCTTCCGGCCTCAACCCATATGCTGAAATCTCATGACCCAGATCTTGGTGCGACCAAACTTGCATTTTTCCAAGTTTATCTTGTACTGGTGCTGTCTTAGGAGACCTAGCACTGTATTCAGGTGCTCAGCATGCTCCTCTGCAGTCTTACTAAAGATGAGGATATCATCGAGGTACACGACGACAAACTTATCTAAGTAATCATGAAA